TATTATGCTGCAAAATATCAAACTATTTCTTTATTATAATAAGCAAACCAAACTCAAACTTTTCAACAATATAATTGAGTTATAACGCAATTTTTTTGTGACGCAATGTAAAATCTATGTGGCAACAAATCTATTTAAAGAAAATTATAATAATGTCACAGATATTTTATAAATTTTAACTTTATCATTTCTAAATGCAAAACAAAACGAGTACGTGTCTTNAATTATAATAATATCACAGATATTTTATAAATTTTAGCTTTATCATTTCTAAATGCAAAACAAAACGAGTACGTGTCTTTGAGACTTCAAATTATATTTTGTTCAAAAAATTTTCAATTTTAATTATTTTTTAAATGTTTTCATTAAAAATTGTCAAGATTATTTTTTTATTATTTTATGTGATTTTATATACTAAAACACAAAATACTACAAAAATAAAAATATTACAATTAGATACATTACTAAATTATCCGGGATGGAAAATTTTGAACGATGTGTACTCTATAAAATATTTGAATAAAAAATATTATCTTAAAAGTCTAATTGAAATACCTACAAATCGGTCAAAATGTATACAAAAGATACGAGCCTTGACTATATATCTTGGATGTACATATGGTAAAGTTATGAATAATCTTTTTTCAATTATTATCAACATGATAACAATTTGTCAAGAAAAAATTCTTGGAGAACACGATTTCTTAAATGGATGCATTTATACCGAAGAACTCATAGACTTAATAGCCACTTTTATTGTTCCAACAGCAACATTGATGAAAAATGCAATGGATGCTTTAGATTTATTACATGACAAACCATGGTTTACTTTTACAAGGAATCAAAAACATTACTACATAATGAGTCCTTTATTAGAAACAATAGCAAATGTTCTTCACAAATTAAATGAAAGATCTCTATCACGTGACAATATATCTACATACTTTTGGATATTAGATACTGTGTTTGATTTTTTTCTTAAAATTATAAAAAATATAAAAAAAGAAATGCTATACTATTGTACATTTGTACCTTATGATACGAATTATTTATGGAATGAATGGAATCAAGAATATAAAATTATTATTGACCAAGGCATAAAATTAATATTTTTCAAATTCTTAATAAGGAAAATTAAAAATTATATCAAGACAGAAATTATAGAAAAGTATTTCCAACTGGGATTTAAATATGATTCAATAACTGAAGAAACGTTTGTCCCAAAACCAAAGGAGCTAATTGAACTAGGTATGTAAAATAAAAAAATGTTAATTAAAACATCTATTATAGTTTTATACAATTTTTTTTAGATCAAGAAATAAAATTTAAAGCAACATATGAAGTAATTTCAGAGACAATAGAAATAGATCATTAAATGTTGTACTAAAATTAATTTTGTTCTACATTTATGTTTTATAATTAATTATAAGATATTAATTGATATTATATAAATTTTTACTTAAAAAATCTTTAAATTATTATTAAAACACTATTATGGATGAATCATACAATTATTTATTGATTGTACACGAAAAAAATTATAGTAAGTACTAGAAGAAAAGGTGGGTGTTTTTATCAACAAACATTTCTTGGCTATACTTCTCTCACTAAGGTATAACAATGTTATTAACTTCTGAAATATTGATCAAAAAAGTTGTTATCCATAAGTTATATTCATAATAAAATCATTGTTCTACTTACATTTTTAGCTTCGATGTGAAGCTGAGAAGGTATTAATTTTGCTAAGATGTGTTTTTTTTCTGTGAAAACTTTCACTTTAAAGGACAAAAAAAAGTATGTTCAAAATGATTACTTTTAACATATTAAAAATCAAAATCAATAATAATTTGAAAACAATAAATTTTAAAAATTATATAATATATAATTAAAAGAAAAACTAATCTGGGTATAATTAAGGAAATAGAAATTGATGTTGCTTTGTCCATCAATTTTTTAGAATTAAACACTATCTAAAGATTTGCATCGAAGCGTTTCTTATGATAGTGATTTTATCACTGTCAGATTAAATCTATACTGGACCTAACTATGCAAAAACCCCACTATGGCGCGACTCCACTGTGCTGGGTTTTTTTATATTTTTTTTGTGATTTATATTTTGTCTTCTGATGTGTTGTTAAATTTCATTTTAATCTAATTATATTTGGTTATTTTAAATAATTAAAAATTAATTGTAAAATATTTTTATATTAATATATTTTTATCATCACTAGAAATACTACGATTTTTATTTAAAAAATTTATTACGGTAAAAATGTAAAAAAAAAAAAAAGTAATTGACTAATTAGTAAAAAGCGAGTATTAACATATAAAAAACCCTGCACTATTTTATTAGTTATTGTTAGTCATTATTAGTTTTGAAAATGTTTCAGACATTTTTTGATCTTTATACATATGTTTAATTATAACCTATATGTAAGTGGCCTCGGAAAAATGATTATTTTGGCATAAAATTAATCGTGTTTCATAATGTTATAATTTTTTTTTCTCATTAAACATGCCTATCAAAAAACCCAGCAGAGTGGGGATGTGGTACAGTGAGGATGTGGTATAGTTGGGTCCATTATAAATGATATCTGACAGTGATTAAAAACACTATCATAAAAAAGGCTTCTTTACAAATATGTAGAAAGTGTTTAATTTTAAAATATTGGTGGATTATTTCAAAAGCTACATGATCTCCTTTATCCTTTTTTAAATCCTGATTAATAGTTTTATGATTTATAAGTGTAATATATGAATAAATATTTATATAGCAATTAAATATAGTATGAAATGGATATTTAATCATTTAGTAATGTAATTTTTACGGAGAAATTATAAAGTTGTTATTATTTTTATGGTAAGAAATTGGTTGATCATTCTAAAAGCAAAATTAACTTCTATTTCTATCATTATCCCTAATTAGTAGTTGATTTATAAGTATAATTTATGAATAAATATTTATATAGCAATTAAATATAGTATGAAATGGATATTTAATAATTTAGTATTGTAATTTTTAATTATAAAGTAGTTATTACTTTTATAGCAAACGTGTATGAAAATTGAAGGTTTTAATGCAGTACTTAAAAAATAAAAAATGTTTGTTATTTATAAATAAATTTACTGGTCAAAAATAAATTTTCATCAGAGACAAAAATATACTTTTGTAAACCTATTTTTGCGTCGAATTCAAATCTGCAATTAGAGTTTCGCATATTACCTAAATAATAACAAAATTTGTCTAATTAATTTAACAAATATTTATGTTTGATTATTAGGTATTTTCGGAATACTTTCAAAATTTAAGTTGAAAAGTTAATTTTTTGTGAAAAAGTTGTCATTTTGAATTCCCCCTTGTGGGTAGGTAAAGGGTTAGATTTATAAAAAAAAATATACAAAATGATAGGTAAGTATCTCACGTATCTATATAAAAACAAATTATATTGATTTGGTGTTTTATAAAAAAGTTATGCCTATTTAAAAAAAAACAATTTAAAAACAATTGAAAAATATCGAAATTTATTGTTTTTAAATTTGTAGTTTTTTTAAGATATCCGCCATTTACGGGGAACGAGGGAAATTTTTTCAATTTTTAAGGATAATGTCTTCTACTAGATACGATTTCTGATCTTTTGGTGTATCGTTGAAAGAAATCTGTTCGGTGAGAGCTGAGAAAAAATGACAAGACAAAAAAAAACACATCTTAGCAAAATTAATACCTTCTCAGCTTTGCATCAAAACTAAAATATTGAGTGTCTTAGATAAAAATTAATAATTATTAAAAACTAGTATATACATATAAAAATTTATTTTTATTCTTATGCAAATTTTTAATTTAAAAATGTTGGACTTTTAAATTTTTTATAGCTCAACTCACAAGTTTGAAATTGATATCATTAAATAAAAAATTTCTAGTAGTCAGGAACTTGCATACTTACTATTCATAGTAAATTTATGAGAAAAGCTTAACATGTCGTTAAAATCACTAGTTTTAGCTTATTATTATTTTTTTTTCATATGTAAATACTTATTTTTTACTAATTAGTAATAATCTCAAAAATGATATGATAGAAAAAAATTACAAATTTAAAATCAGCAAAAAATGGCTTTATGAAAGTATATTATGGTCTCTGGTGGAAATTTTTTGTAGACCAGTGTATTTATTCTTTAGTAACAAAAAACTTTTTTTGAAAAGTATTGCGCTTCATGTCCTTTAATTTTTATACATGTTTATAAAATTATATTATTATTTTCACCGAAGAATTGAAAAAATCCAATGGTTATAATTATCAAATTAATTTAAAAAAAAAATTGACTATTTTACTTATTTCACTTAGTCAATAATAACAATATACTTTCCTTCAGATGAAGTTAATCGACTTGAAGAAGAATTGAAGAGGTTAGTAGTGGATGCTGGTATCGAAGTTAATAAAGTCAAATTAATTTACGATACAAAATTTCAAGAAGTCATTAAAGAAACCCAGCGTTTGCAAATGGTGGAATGAGCGTAAAAAATGTACTTTTATATATTTTTTAAATTATAAATATTTTTTAACAGGAAAAGAAAACAGCCGAACAAGATTTAGAAAAAAAAACTAAAGAAAATGCCGATTTGACAAAAAAATATGAATCAGTCGTCCAAAAATGTGTCTCACAACCTTTAGTTCATTTGGAAAATGTTAACTCTTTGATTGATCAAATTGATGACTATAAAATCAAATGTGAAAAACTTATGAATGAAGTAGAAATCTTAAAAGAAGCAAATAAGGAAAATCAAGAAAAGTAAAGGAAAATTAATATCGAATTTTTTTAATTTGAATAATTTATAGAAATATGAAGTTTTCAAACAATAAAATTTTATTACAAAATTCATAATTTTCATTCTATTTTTTAGTTACACAAGAAAATCGGCAAGATACAAAATGGAAATAATGTTTTTAAAAGATAGAGAAGAATCATTAAAAAAACATTTAAACAGCGCCATGCGTCAAATAGCGGAAGATAAAAATGAGTTATTAGAAACAAGTGACCGTATTAAAGTTTTGGAGATGGAAATTAACAAATCGTAAGTGATAATTTATAACATAAAAAATATAATATTACAACATTATTTCAAAATGTTAATCTATGTTTAGGATACCATAAAAGCAGGGCTATATTCAGATCATAGGTTAGGGAAACAAATTTTAGAATTTAATATGTGCATATATGGGAGGGGCGCAGCTTGGAAAATTTGCTAGGGACGTAACAAAACCAAGATCACGTTCTGGATAAGATATGGGATTTTTTTGAATAATTTTTCAATACGTCGCACAATAAATAAAAACTGTAAATAAAAGATAACAAAAAAAAAATCAATTATTATACGAGGTATTATTGATTTGGATAAGTTAAATTTCTGAAGTCTATTTCTATTAAAAAGTTCATAATATGATACCTCTGACTAAATATTAAAGTAATGCCTATTAAAAATATTTATAGAGGTTTTTAATCTGGTCATTTTAAAAATAAAAAATAAATAATTGGTC